CCGGGGCAGGACCCGGCCCGCGGGGAGCAGTTTGCAGTCGTTCTCTTACGTGTTAGGCAGTAGGCAATATTGAGACTTCCACTTGGTAATGAACAGCAGTTAACACAACCCAGGAGACTAGAGCACCATAAGACAAGTCTATACTCAAAACAACGTCATGCTGACATCACACAATTGCACCATTTACACTTTTATTTACTCCAAATAATAGTTCAACGTTTAGTAACTTCAGCGTTCTCTACAGAGGTGTAAAATTCCTTCTCCGGCTTTGGTCATTTACAACGTTGCAGACATTTGGTAGTTCTGTTCTTTCCTATTTAATAATAATAATAATACTAAAAAAGTCCCTTTTGCAGCTGTCAGGATTCCTACATCTGATTGATGGAGCGTACCTGAAAATCACAGGCGTGAGCAGACTTCAAAATGCCACCGAGGCCTCTTCAAGATTTAATGAATCAGAAAATGTTCTCTTTATTTACCAGGAATGAAACAAAAAAACAGAGAAAAGAGTTTTTTAAAAAAAACCAAACTCAAACCAAATGACAACTCAAACTGTCACGGATATGCTTATGAAATTTGACGATGAAATGGAAAAGGGGGTCCAAAGTACTGCTTGGTTAGCTCTGGCTGAAAACAATTCTGAATGTGCATGCATTTTCCCAGTGACTCCTAAGATATAGAAATTCCTCTGATATTACAAAATACAAAAATATTTTCTCCAAACTCTCATTTACATTGCATTTACAACAATCACGGAAATAACTTAGGCTCCCACACTGTCCGAGAGAGGCAAATTACCTACCAACGTGGCTAATGGAAAACAAAAACGTGGTGGAAAGCAAAAGCTACCGGCAAACTGATGCTGAGAGTCAGCAGTGGTAACCAAAAGGTACGGACAAACAGAACTGAAACGGGCGGCAGTATTCGGGAGGAAGAGGAAAAACTACTGGGTAAATATTACAGGCTAAAGTGAACTTTTTTCATTTTTTTTCTCCAAAGTAAGATGTGCAAAATATATTCACTGTGCCCAGGATTATGACTATTTATAGAAGCCAGTCTACAACCTGCTTACAAATCCCTACTCTTCGCGTCTTTTTCGTTACAATAAAAGCGCTTACATATTCTAAAACAGTGCAAGTTTGTGAGTTAATTTACATTCTCCCAAGGTGCCTGGCAAGGATGATGCCATTAGGATATGATACAGTTTTTGCTCTTCTGTCTTTTCCGGCTGTGCAACTGTCCCCTGCCACCCAGCGTGGAAGACTTGGGCATGCTGTACGAGCTGTACTTGTGCAGGAGCTCCTCGCTGGTCACGTACCGCAGGCGGGCGGGCTGGGGAATCGGCTCCCCGAGGAAATAGCCGTCGTTGTCGGACTCCGAAGAGGAGGAGCAGGTGGAGCACCAGTCGTATTCGGCGAAGTAGGGCCCCCACCTCTCGCCCAAGTGGTTCTGCAAGGCGAGATCCGACACCGTCCGGGGACAGTGGCCGTAGGCATCCCTGCGGGGACCCTGCTCCACCGTCTCCCTGCAGCTCCTCTGGTGCATGAACTGGTCGTAGTCTTCCCTGGCTCGCAGCGAGGGTCTCTCCTTCAGCCGGCAGCACTGCTCGCTGGTGAGGTGCAGGGCGTTATCCGACCGGGAACGCCGAGACCGCCGGGGCCGGTGCGGGCGGTAATGCCGGTCATCATCCCGGAGGTTAGTTCGCCGGCGCGTGCGCTCGCTCATGGGGGCATGCCTCGAGCCCTCCTGCACCCCCAGCTTGCCCACGGGCACCCCGCTGCCGTAGTCGAAGCTCTGGTGCATCCGCCCGTGCGACGGCCGCTCGCGGTACCCGAGGGGGCTGGCGAGGTCGTGCAGGTTCGGCTCCATGTCCTGGTACTGCTGCACCGACAGCAGGCTGCGGACCGACTCGGCGCTTCGAAATTGCACGGAGGAGTTCAGCGTCCCCATGTTGCTCATCTTCTCCGAGACGTTCATGCCCGAGTCTTTGCTCAGGTCAGGCATCGAGAACCTGGAAAGGTGCTCCTGGCGCTTGGCTCCACCATCTGCGGAGAGGCCTTTGCAGGGAAAGGGGAAAGGAAGGAAAAGAAGAGAGTTAAGAAAGGAACTTTCTGTCGGCAGAGATGCAGGGAGAAGGCTGGGCTTGGCCCGAGACTTTTGCGTTAAAAAATAACTTGGTGGTTTAGATGCTGTCCTGAAGAGCTCTTCAAGAGGATGATTTTTTTTTTTTTTAAGGAGCAGGCAGTTCCTCCTTTGGGGAAATCGCACCAATTTAAGGCGTTTTGAGTAGGACTCCAAGTTGCTTTTCACGACTTCCTTCCCCATATGTCTACGCTGTCTGCGACTTGATAGGAATAACTAGCGATGCCAGTGAGAAATTATGTGTCAGAGGTAACCTGAGGCCTCCCGCACGCCGAGAAAACTAGGGTGCCATGATCTGGCACCCACACCTTGTGCAACAACGACATTTTTTTAAAGGACTGAACAATGTCAGGGGCAGCTGAAAACAGAGCCACTGACTAATTCAGGCTTGTCATCATGCTGCAGCACACAGGTCCCCAGAATGACACCTGCGGGGGGACTGAAGAGGCAGCCTTGGCCACGTGCATGCAGTCGGGTTTTCCACGAGGTGAGGAAATCCCCGAGCCCCAGAGGGTCTGCTGGAGCTCCCAAAAAGCAGCGGGACAGCAGGAGGGTCAGGCTATCCCTGCAGCTATCCAGGGAGCTGCACGTGGGCAGGAACCAGGAACATCAGCTCCAGCCTGATGGGCTGCCCTGCTCGGGAAGGTGGCCCACCGGGTCTCTCCCATGTGCCAGCCAGCCCTAAGCCCCTGCAAGGTGCTCTCCCCCAGCCCTGAGCTCCTGCAAGGTGCTTTCCCCCGGCCCTGAGTCCCTGCAAGGCGCTTTCCCCCAGCCCAGAAAGCCTTCACCCGGCAGCAGAGAAGTGGGGTGTCTGCTCAGCACCTGCCCATCAACAAGAAACCCAGCGCACCCCACATCGTCCTGGTCCCTGGCCTGTTCCCTGGGTGTTTTCTATCTGTTTTCTGACTATCTCCCTGTTGGCTTGACAACCGGCAGCAGTTGGCGCTTGCACTGCAAGCTCAGGACAACATGTTTCACAAGCTATTTCAAAGGAAATCCGTTTCATCCCAAATCAAATGCAGAGTGTTTGCCTTGGCGCTCTTCTCCCTGCCCCTCTCCGACAGCCTCCCCACACGCGGGGAGCCGTGCACCATCAGCAGGATTTTCAACATGACGCACGGCCCTTATGCAATCACTGAGAATTTATGACTTTGTAAATGAATTTAAAAAAACAACCACCCAACCCACAATTCAAGAATAAACTTCTTTTCCCCTTCACAAAAGCCACTTACATTTCACTGAGAGCTCAGCTCCTCCGGCATCAGCCGCTGCCTGCCAAACCCGAACGAGAGCAAGGGCTGCCGCCACGAACCCCGCTCACCAGCCGCTGCAGGGTTGCTTCGGGCTCAGCCTTAAACAGATCAACAGATCCTGCAAAGGTGGGCAAGGTTTTTCCAAACCCTGCCCTGGGTGGCACCAGGGAGAGCTTTGGCACTTGAGCACCAGCCACTGCTGGGGCTCGCGTGGCTTTGCTCCCCGAGTCCCAGCCGCCGCAGCCGTTTCTTTCTGCTCCTTTGCTCTCCTGCCGTTAGTGGGGATGTTTCTGGGGTTTATGATTACAGAGGAAGGTAGAGCGAAGGCGATCCCCGAGCGCCGCAGGAAAAGGGAGAGGCTGGGTTAAAAAAAAAAAGTTAAAGCCATGTTTTGTTTTGAAAAGGACACGCTTTTGAAGCCAGCTTCATGCCTTTTTTTTTTCTTAAGCCACGCTGATCTCGAGTGAGCTAACCCAGCCCTGCTGACCACCCTTTGGAACCAGCTCCCCGTCCCCTCCGAGGACCTGCTCGCCACCGCTTGTGACACTGGGCACCGCTCCCCGTGTCCCTCCTGTGCCACCGTGGAGCAGCCCAGCAGCCCCCCGCGAGGGAAAAGCAGCTCGGTGACACCGGCAAAGACCTCCCGAAATGCCAGAGTAACAGTGGGATTGCCGGTGGAGCTGATCCGAACGTGAACCACGGCCGCTGACAGCTGAGCGTGGCCTTCATCAGATCCACCAGACAACAGCTGAAGCCGAAGGAAACGAGCCCGCGGTGCCATTTACGCACCCCTTCGCTCAGAGAACCGGCGCGGCTCCGCAGGGAGGACGCGCAGCGGCCGAGCGGGGGAGCGCTA